AAAAACTCCGGCAGACAAAATTATGAAAAATTATTTCATATTTCAACAAACATTTGGCATTAAATGGGAAAATTAAGTTGTTGTTTACTAATATATTACTATTTATATGTTGTTTTACTATATATTACTATGTGGTTTACTATTAATAGTGTTTTAAAAAGGTTTTTTAAAAAAATAAATTCTGAAATTACACTGAAATACTTTCGCCTGCTTCTGCTTCCGGAGCTCCGGCATATTTTGCCGGAGCCGGAAAACTCCGGCAAAAACTCCGGCAGACAAAATTATGAAAAATTATTTCATATTTCAACAAACATTTGGCATTAAATGGGAAAATTAAGTTGTTGTTTACTAATATATTACTATTTATATGTTGTTTTACTATATATTACTATGTGGTTTACTATTAATAGTGTTTTAAAAAGGTTTTTTAAAAAAATAAATTCTGAAATTACACTGAAATACTTTCGCCTGCTTCTGCTTCCGGAGCTCCGGCATATTTTGCCGGAGCCGGAAAACTCCGGCAAAAACTCCGGCAGACAAAATTATGAAAAATTATTTCATATTTCAACAAACATTTGGCATTAAATGGGAAAATTAAGTTGTTGTTTACTAATATATTACTATTTATATGTTGTTTTACTATATATTACTATGTGGTTTACTATTAATAGTGTTTTAAAAAGGTTTTTTAAAAAAATAAATTCTGAAATTACACTGAAATACTTTCGCCTGCTTCTGCTTCCGGAGCTCCGGCATATTTTGCCGGAGCCGGAAAACTCCGGCAAAAACTCCGGCAGACAAAATTATGAAAAATTATTTCATATTTCAACAAACATTTGGCATTAAATGGGAAAATTAAGTTGTTGTTTACTAATATATTACTATTTATATGTTGTTTTACTATATATTACTATGTGGTTTACTATTAATAGTGTTTTAAAAAGGTTTTTAAAAAAATAAATTCTGAAATTACACTGAAATACTTTCGCCTGCTTCCACTTTTAAATATGGAATTTCCTTAAAAATTTCTTGCTGGAGCCGGAGTTTTGACTGCCGGAGCCGGAGCTAAAATAGCCGGAGTTTGCACAGCTCTAAGATAATCTCGACTTGTAAGACGCTTTTGTAAACAGTAAATTCAAAAACTCAATAATTCATGAGGAAAACACAAGCGTACCATATCTTTATATGTGATAGAGATTTCCCTTCATTTACACAAGCTTTAACTTTGATTTTCTCGACTTACACAACATATTTTTTGAAAATTACTTCGCCAATGAACTTACTAGATCGATCGTTTTTGAAGCAATTTAAAACATTCGCAGTGCGTGTTTTATCAGACCCAAAGATACTCGGCTTCGCCTCGTATCTTTATATCTGATAAAACACTGCTGCTCATGTTTTAAATAGTACGTAAATTATATGGCATTCCAGTATATAAGTTGATAAAAATTTCCTGCAAGGTATAAGGAATTTCCTGCAAAGATATTTTGTTAAAGATTTCCTGGCAGCTGTGCAACTATGTGGTTCAAATACAGGCACTGTTTGTTAGTCTAGAGTACTAAACCCTGGACATTCTTTTATGTTATTCTAGGAACTGGCGAGAGGTGAATAAAGAAGAATTCAAGGTAGGAGAATGTATCGTCTAATTTGTATTCACGTATGTCAATGAGGGCTTCATATCTTGAATTTCATTTAAGGACAAGCACAAGGTGTTGATAATGAAATTGTGCAACAAAATTGTAGATGGAGTGTTGGACAAAATATCTTCCGAAGTGAATAAGTACGCTCTTTTATATTGAATGTGATTTTTTAAATTTTTTTAATGATTTGTCACAATATATAGAGTATTGTACTATAATCACATAAACAGACAACTTACATGGATAAACGACATAGCTGTGACTGGGGAAAGGAACAGAACATGCATTCCAATTGACACCTGACCTTTATAGACTTTACTTATTGCACTCCAACCCAATTCGCCTCCCTATACGATGTGTTCGTAACAATGCAATATGATTACAATACGTTTAGAGCAAGAAAAACTACAGTATGTTACTTTTAACATTTTCTCCTGGTATATTTTAGGGAGTGTAAATCACGGTCTTTCATTGCTGTCCAAAGCCTGACTCCTCACGATATAAACGAAATAGTATGTTATACAGTAGATTCCTTGTCTAATGCAATGTGTACTTTTCTGTTGTAATACGAATTCGAAAAGACATGATTTGAAAAATTCCTCATTTTATTACATTGAAGATCATAAAGACGGCATCTGGAATTGTGCACCAATCGGCAATGAACAAATTAATGGAATGGTCGCATCAAAATATTTCAGGTAAGTCATTATAAAGTAGGACAATTTCATACTGTATTCATAACATAGTGGCATGCACAGTACCTTCTATGTAAGTGAGTTCATTTTCTGTAGCAAACACTTCACCTTAGCAAACTTTGTGTAGACTATCAATATTAAAGTCTTTTGTCCTGGTTAGTATGCCATTGGTGCATCGATTCTTTCAAGTAGCAAACAAGTATATATCGCTCCTTGCTTTTGTATAAGCTTGTAAGTATAAGACCGAAATATGACATATTGTATAAATCGACCTCAAAAAAATTGGAAAAGAGAACATCACATCTTGCAACATTGATTCTCAATGGCGACCTCAGGCAGAGATTCGAACTTCATGCCGGTGTTCCTCAGGGAACACAATTGGCCCGAGTTTCTCACGATGACGAATATTCGCCATTTTTGTGTGGTATCTAATTTTCGTTAACCAATGCAGACAATTAAAACAATCTGAAAAGCAATTTTTCTAAATAAACTAACCATTTACAAAGCAAATTTACCATCATTCGTCCAAAAAATTATAAAAAGTCGCTGTTATGTGGACTTATCTCGCAGTCTTCGGCTGAAATGCCACCCAAAAATGGCGGTGTGAGAAAGGGTAATTGGGTCCTATCTTGGTAAATGATCTAAAAGCGTCAAACTCAGATCGTTGAAAGTATGTTGTAGACGATTTTACCATCTGCGAAATTTTGTCAACGCACAGCCAATCTACACCTTGATCTATATATAGGACGTGCTGTAGCCTGGATACAAGGGCCTTAAAGTCTTTTAACAAATTGTTTCCTTGTATTTTAGTCATTATCGAAAAACTTGTTCGTAAAGATATGGATAAAATGATAACAAAAGAACAGAATCTTGCTGCCAATACCTACCGCGTCCATGCTGAAGATACGGACCATCCTTTTAACTGGTTTTATCAACAACTACTTGACAAGGAATCTGCGAAAAACAAAACACAAGCTCATGCGGGACAATCTGTTGTTGGAGAATCACAACGAAACGATTCAGTACAAAAGATAGAATTAGACGATGTAAGATAGGCAGGTTTGCCGAGAGGGGATCAGGGGGAGGGGACTTTACCCCGAAAACCCAGCTCAAAAGGGCCCCAAATCTCAAACTCAATAATTCATGAGTAAATTAGGCAACCATATTGCTTTACTTTGCTCACATGATAATACTGGATACTTGGTGAAGTATATTGATCATAATATATTGGTAAAGTATATTAATTCAGTCCTTGGACTGGATCAAAATTAATTCACCTCACTTTAAGCAGTGATTTATCCGTAATGAGATGTAATTTCAAATCCTCCAATTCGGACTGAACTAGATTTCAAGTCCTCGCATTTTGATCCAGAAATCTAGTCCAGTCCTCATAGTCGAATTTGACTAATATTAGTTAAAACACCGTTTCTCCCGTTTTACAGTTATAACGTCATCCCCCTGGGACCTCTCGGTGGCCCTGAAGATAGATACTAGGTAGATAATTGTATTTTTAAGGAAGGGATACCGAAGTTTTTAACGTATTTTACTGAAGTCTATAGGAGTCGTATATGTTAATGTAAATATTTTTTTTAAATAAATGTTTGTATAAACGTTTTGTAAAAAATTGAACAAAGGTAAATTGATTAGAAGCCTGGCAAAATTTTTTGGTGGATCCTGGCATCTAGGATCTCAGAAAATTTTCAGACCAGACTTAGCTGGCAGAAAATTTTAGGACATTGCATACGGCTAACAGGCACAGGAAATCATTTATCAGGAAGAATATTAGTCACCTCGGCAGAAGACTTTGACGCAAGGATCCCAGAAATGGTTTTCGACAAAGACAGTCGACTACATGGCTGCAAGACGATGCATGCATGCTAGTTAGGATGTCTGATGAGTAAATAGAGGGTCATGAATAAGAGTACCAAATCTCAGTTCATTAGAAAAATCTGAAATCCCATCCATAGTGAATATTTAAGAAATGATGCATATAATAAATTATAATGATGATTATGATGCACATAATGAATTACAAGCCGCTGCGCATGAAAACGTGGTGCAGGGACCGCGGAACAGGGGGAAGGAGGGGCACGCCCTTCCTTTTTTGGTGGATAAAAAATTACCCCCCCCCCCCACACTTTCAAACAGGCTCCGTGTCCCTGTGGTGGCCATGCTTGCTCGCAGCAAGAAGGTGAGATCAGGTGAAAAATGTGTTTCTCTGAGGTCTACTATTACAGAATTTAACTATTTTTATTTAAAGAACAGGAATATAGGATTGAATAATACTGGAGACCACTCAACAAGAGAAATCCGATTTCCAAATTTTTTTAGAATTTATATTTTGATATTTAAATCCCAGTACAGTAAATCCCACTTTACCCCTTCAAGACCCTCTAAATTCGTGGGACATGCACAAGACATGGACTTTTTCTTTGCAGAATTTTTTAAAAGCGATTTGTTTATCTCCAAGAGGCGAAGACGATTCCCCTTGACTTCTATGCGCCGATTTAACCTCCATACTCTCGAAGAAAAGTGATTACTTATTAGCCTTATCTTTTATAGACAATGTTAGAAATGTCCTGTTTTGATGTGACGGGAATGCGGCCAGGAATGCAAAATATTGGCGCATTATTATAGATCATGCCACTAATTCATGTAATAAGATTTAATCTTCCTTGTTGAAATTATGAACTGTATTGAATTCCCACTTGCCCGTTCTTGTTCCTTTTTGACGGTTTTTTTAATGTGAAATATTTTTTTTAAAAATATTGACTAGGTGAAGGTGAAAGGAAAACTGCAAGGGAAACTGTTAGTGTTGGATGGGCGAGCACCTGAATTATCAGACCAATCGCGGTTGAGCATATTTTAGACTTTTAGTGAGAAAATATGATTTTGTTTGGCAATCAATATACTAGCGATATATCAGATCGTCTGGAACGATGTCAGTATCAAAATCGGAAATATTCAAGCGCATTTTTGGGGTGCATTTGTCGGACATTGATGGGAACGAAGAATAATTTCCCACTTATCTGGAAGTGAAACGGTCCCTTTACCGGAGGGGGAGGGGATCATAAAGTTGCAGTTTTTCATGACAACCTGAGGCCAAATTTAAAGACTGTATGTTGATTGTTATACAACGTTGTATGGAAGGTTGTTGTTTGGATAACGATATTTTGTTGTTTATATAAACTTGTTGTTTTTATTTATTGTTCAGTCTCTTTTATTCTATGATGTTCGGAATAATCATGCCATTATCTTCATTGTAAGCTGTTCACAATGTTATTTTCGTTCTGCTGATCGATCTTTGACGTTCTAGAATGTTCCATGTGCTCCATTGGTGGTTCCTGAGCTTTGTATTACGCACATTCCAATCCCGTCTGAATCAAAACAAATTCAAAGCTACACTCGATTTACCCCCACGCCAAACCTCTCCAATTCTAGCCAGTCTAAAGTAACCGATTTCGGGCAGTCGGTCTAGCATGTTGATTTGATTTTATCTATGAATGTCGTAAAGCGACCGCTAATGATCAACACTCTTCATTTAACAACTTATTCAGGAATGTGACCTATTCTCGATTCACAATTGCTAAGCCGTCATTCACATAATCGTCTAATTTGTATTCAGTAACACCTCGAACAAAAATATTTCATGGGGAATTTTTTGTACTGTTAAAATGGCAATGCGATTCACAGTAATTCAGTGAAGACTAAATGTGGAATTCGGTTATCTCGACGACGCTGTGATATGCCATCTCTTTTCAAATTGACTTTAATTAAGCAGTCTTTGAATGTGCACGGAGTTGTCACAGCGGGCGAGAAATAGTTGAGTATTGTAGTCAAAAAGTATTTGTTGTGTTGGCGGAGTCAAGGACTTTAGGATAAATCATACACCACAACAATATAGAAATGCGCTATCCCCCAAAGCGTCTTCAATGGTACGAGCTTACCACGCCAATTTGAGTCGATTGTGGCGTCCGTAAATTTCATATCAGTCTTTCGACCTTTGTAAATATTTCACATATTTTTGAAATATCAGGTTTTCTCTCGACCTGTGATTTGCATAACAATTGAAAAGATGGAATGAGCCAATTAAAAGGCCCTTCCGAAACTCCGGCTAGCGGAGCGTATCTTGTGGCCACACAACAACACCGAAGATCGCTTAACATCAGGCGATATAAACCGGTACAACGGTGGTACGTTTGAACCAGTCATACATGGCCTCGCTCGACTTCATCATGTTGATTTGAACATCATCTTGCGGCTGCTGTAAGCCACATCTACAACCAAACATGAAGACACTACGTATACTACCACTTCTGGTTGTCGTGTTCCTCTCACAAATCCCACACGCTGATGCAGCAACGTGTACAACCGAATTCATACTCGCTGTAGTATTTGGTAGTGTCTTGGCATTGGTCCTTATAATTCTACTGTTATACTGTTGTATAAAACGTTGTCTTAATAGACGAAGCAAGCCTCCGGGTAGGTTTTACATTTTCAGGACTCATTTATATAACTGTACTTATTAACCTAAAATATTTATTGTGATACATCAAATATTAAAATAGATCCACTCATCCTGGATATTTGTATAAATCTTAATTTACATTTTCAAATCCCGTATTCCCTAAGCCACGTGGCTTAACCGTATATAATTCTTCGTCGCGATATAGCTTCAACCAAATCTCTCGTTTCGTCGGTTGAGGAAGGAGGCAGTAGACGATTTGGAAATCCAAGTATGGACTTTTCCATCGGTGATGTGGAACTCGAAGAAAGAAGACGTGAAGAACATCGCAACATTTGTTCGCAATGCCATCAAAGAATGATACGAGCTAACATAGGTATGAAAATATTTATTTAAGTATTAGTCGAATAATGAGACTTAAAGTTGTTCCCACGTCTTGGCTCACTTTAGGCTTGAATGTGCTTTTGAATTTTGTGGGTGGGTTCGATTGGGGTTTGAGTTACCGCATGCTGTGAGTCGTAAGACCTTTTTGACCGTCGTTGTTTAGCTCGTCACCGTCGACGAGTGGATCGTTTGTCGTCGATTAATAGCCGCATTTGGATTTAATTTCTTGCTAAATAACTCTCTCGTTTCAAGCTCTGCGGCTCGCTTCGTGTTGTATCTCGACGTTGGCTGCCTTGATTAAGACTTTCGTATCGGTTTGTAAAAGCGAATTTGGAATCTCGTGTTGTTGTAAACTACAAACTGTCGGCTTTAAGTCCTTTAACTAGATCGCTAGACACATATTTTGTACTATACTCGTGTCACAAGGTCAAGAAGTCAAACGAGACTTTCGTGTTTGCTTATCGAATTATTTAGCCGTTTAAAGAATTTCGCTCAGATGAACGATCCGACATAGGCTAGGTCTAGTTTCTTCTGTAATTGTGTTGCAGATCGTCGATGTCCATGAGAGTTAATACAAGTTGGCCATGATTTGCCAGAAATTTTTGATGGCTTTGGAATTTTTCGTAGCCAAGTACAGTAATCGGCGTACTTCAAAGTTTAAAGTTCGTTGCTTCCTCAGAATGATAAGTGATTCCGGATGGAAATCTAAATACATCGTGTCTCCAAGTAGATTCGGACGCTTTGAAATCCATCCTGGACATCGCTCGCGTTTTAGCCAGCTCAGTTTATACCTATCAAAAATCCTCCTGATATACTTAGCTACGTTCAAGATACTCTACTGAACAAAATTGGCAGAGGTTATTACACCTTGTTGATTGCAAAAAAAAATAGAAGACAATTTAGCAAGACGGCGCACTTAGACAAGCACGCTATGTTACTCTAAACGTTGCATATTCGCTTGGCTTTGCCTACATCAGTTGTCCAAGTTAACTTTGGAGTTTTACTTTATTTGAGAACAAACGCAATTGAGAGGCCAGCAGAGTTTCACAGCGGCCTTCCGCACAAAACAAGAGTTTAAGCAGCAAGATAATTAAGCATTTGAATATTTTGATCGGCAAGATAAGCGTTTGAGAAGCCGCTATACTTTTCAGTCGCATGCACTCAATTGTGTCAAGTGCATAAGGCGTGCCACGTCACTCCTCTTGGCCAAGTCTGACTGGTCGAAAATCTTGATAGGAAAACATTTATAGCCATATAGCTGCGGTTTCAAGGGCTAATGTCAGTGTAATATATTATACTAGTAGATATACTTCCTATACTTTGTTTCCCTGTTCCATTACAAAATATATGTTTTGATATAAAGGAGAATTAATGCACTAATAGTAGCTTTTGTAAGTGAATATCTATATTTTGCGGCGGATTTAAACGGTATTAAAAATTGTTTACACATAAGTCGACCAAGACAAACAAAACTGGCAAGTCACCATGTTGATTTAACTTGTTTACGATTAGAATGCTCAAGCAATCACTAATTACTCTTAATTAATACCACAAGCTAATTTAGCGGTTGTAAAATGTTCTAAATGGTAGGCTATTGTATGAGAACTGACCTTGGCCCAAGGCTCAAGAGTAGCACTTAAATATTTTTATTGCTGTCAACGATTACACGGCGGAAGCCCTAGGGCTAAAAACATACCTGTTTATCACAAATGTACTGTAGTTCATCGTCTCTTTCCAAAACATGCATGGTAACAATGGTAGCATCTACCGTAAATGATGATCCAATATTTCTGAGTTCTAGATTGGAACATAAAAAATACTTTAAGTACTTTAACTGCCAAAGGCGCCCTAGGAAAGCGTTGGACTCGATCAGGTTGAGCTGCGTCGTTCGTAATTCTGCTTAGCTCTCAGCTGCATGAAGTACAGTAAGGATTTATTTATTTATTAATAACTTTACAATCATAGAAAAGTATAACAATGATTTGAAGGTATGGTCAACACGACATGAGTCCCATGCAAAGACCAACCTGATCAAAAACAATAAGTAGACATACATTAAAGACAAGGACTAGAACACTATTTTAATACATAACTATATAAAAATTCATAGTTTAGATTATGAGCAACAGCTTAAGTTGAAAGAACGGCATTTAGAGCAGTAGGTTTTCCAAGTGCGCATTCTGTTGATTAGCACACCCCATTTACTCCCCCCCCCCCCCCTACGTAACAAATGGGTATCATTCCCCTGCTTTTAGCAAGGTGGGGTTTACGCCCGTGTATGTGGCACGTAAGAATGTATGCCATTTATTGGTGAATAAAGTCTCACCCTGTGAATATATATGACATATGAACGAGTGACAAGAGGTTATATTGACATAAATCCAATAATATTACTACAGTACATAATATAATTAAAGTAATATAATTAAGATTAGAAATATTTTACGGTTCATGCAAATTCCGACCAATGGCTTCTTCATAATGCAAAAATTTCAACAGAATTCCAGGACGAGGCAATTTTGGCCCCATGCATATGCAATTAATTTATATGCAATAGAAAGACTTAAACAGACGGGCAACTTTATTTGTGCAAGTATATGATGAGTACTTAAATTTAATAAGAGTACTATTAAATACGATAATCGTCTGTAAGGAATTTTAATTTGAACTGAATAATTGAAACTGGCGAATTTCATACCATGTATGGGGAGAAGGAGTATTTTTGTGCAACCTTGGACCTTGGTAGGAATTTTGTCTTTATCACTATATTTTTTTATCAAAACCGGTTCGTTTTGACGCATTTAAGACGTTGACTATTCTGTTTTTAAACAAAAATAAAGGCTGGTGTTTGTACTATTAAAGTTTCTGTGATCACAGTAGGAATTTTGCGTGGGTAAATTCTAAGTTTTGAAGGATTTGTAAGAAATGTTTCAGGGGACTGACTCCGTCATGTTAAACACACTGTTGGTTCCCTTAAACATTTCCTACAAATCCTTCAAAAACGTCTAACTTACCGATGCAAAATTCTTAATGTGATCGCAGTGCAAACTAGCCTGTATAAGACCAACACAAGATGAAGTGTGAATGTTTCTTCCAAAAGATAGTTACGCAGGCTACCAAAAGGCGAAGTAAACAACAAGCCGGTGTAAGACAAAAATAGTGGTCATTACGTGTTCCTAATGACACACACCGGAAGAAATTTGTATTCGACAAGTGTAATTACCCTTATCGGCCAATGCCGCTACGCGGTTGTTTTTCATATTATAATATTCTTGAACTGTCTAGCACTTGAAACAGTTTACCTCATAAGTCACTTTCCTAGTTTCCTGAACAACCTAAAAATAAAAATTGAAAAGTTAAATCATTTCCCACGCCAATGCCAATCGTGGTACGTTTTAGGACTTCAGCTCTTTTATTTCTGGAACTGAAGTCGATGAGTGCGACTCCCCGAGAGAAGCCCTGGCTATAGTTTTGGCCACTTGTTTGTCACATCTGTCAACTGTGACAAGCTCATATAACTATTATTAAATAGTTCGTAATTATCGAATGAGTTTGAGCATGATATGAAAAATTATTAAGGCCGAAGTTTTCTGCTATCAACTGAAGCACAAAGTAAGGTCTTCATGATCTTCATATCATGCAAAAACCGAATTCAAGAATTGTTTTATTATTTATTGAAAAGATGAAACAGCGGTCGGCTGTGGGAAGCTATTCGTCATGTTGTGACGGGTTTCTCATGACGTCATTCCGTTGAAAATGTCAGCTGTGAGAGGCAACACGCAAATTCCATGAACCATTAGATACGTTTTCAATCGCTACACTCGTTGGAATCGAGGTTTAAGTAAATCAATACAGCTAGTATTGCAAGTGAAAATATGTCTGAAGGCCTGATTTCACGAGTGCATTTAGTTCTCGGCGAAATGGGAAGAATTTTGCGCGAAATGAATGGATCTTTCCCTTTATAACTAAAATTTTGATCTAGACAAGTCTAGACAAAAATTTCATCACAGCTTGAAAGAGCATCACAAAATTAGTAATATTCCAAAGTTTCGTTGCGAAATGTTGTAAAATGCGGCTAATATAGCTCTGCGAAATTTGCAATTTTCAGTCATTTTGTATTACAAACTGGAAATTGATGCCCCAACACCCGATTGGGCTGTCAATTTCCCGTGCGTAATACAAAATGACTGAAAAACGGCAAACTTCGCATGGCTATATTATCCGCATTTTACAACATTTCGCAACGAAACTTTGGAATATTACTAATTTTGTGATGCTCTTTCAAGCTGTGATGAAATTTTTGTCTAGATCAAAATTTTAGTTATAAGGGGAAAGGTTCATATTAACGCAGGATGAATAAGTGGGAAAATTGAATAGAATCACTCGCGCGCAACCATCCATACTTCGTAGCCGGAGAAAATCTCCATCGCGAAGAATTTCAGCGTCGTGGAATCGGCCAAGATATTATACATAAAGGGTGTTAAAGAAATTATTGAGTGGAAATTTATATACATTTATTAGACTCAACCAGGAACCTGCTGTGAAAAATGCAACTTAGGTCCCTGACAGGAATCGAACCTGCATGTGAAGTTCAATGGGTAAATATCTCAAGATTTTGTTGGCATTTCACTCGATAGACAAATCAAATATAGACTAATTTTATTCCAAATCAATAAGATTCCAAAGTCAATTATAGACTAATTTTATATCTTGGCAAAAAAAGTATATTCCCTGATCTTAAGAGCATACTAAAATGAGTAAAATTGCAAAGTTTGGTTGCGAAATGTTGTAAAATGCGGAAAATATAGCCTTGCAAAGTTCGTAAAAAACTATACAAAATTTGCAAACTTTGCAAGGCTATGTTTTCCGCATTTTACAACATTTCGCAACCAAACTTTGCAATCTCACTCGTTTTCGTATGCTCTTTCTAGCTGTGGTGATTTATTTGCATCCGTCCTTGCCTAGTTTTAAAATTAATCTATAATGGTTATTGTCTATTGAATAATCGTTCAAAAGTTTTGTAGGTGGAAATTATCAAGTGTAAACTTAGGTAAACGTAAGGTTGGGTGACTAGGTCTAAAGCCGGTTTTCCACTAGGCGGAATTTTGCGCGTGGAGCGGAATTTTATAATTAGAAAAGACAAAGAAAAATTCCGCTCCGCGCGCAAAATTCCGCCTAGTGGAAAACAGGCTTAACAAATGGTATACTATAAATTTCCACTCAATAACTTCCATCAGTACAAAACCTTCAACTATATATTATTCAATCGAGTTCTGAGATGCCAACAAAATCTTGATGATTGATATATACTTGTTGAAAGCCGAGTTAGCTTGACCCTAGGTTAATTAACTTAAAATTCAAAGCAAACTTCTTAACTTTCCAAGAGCTTGTTTATAAATTTCAGGAAATATTTCCTCCGAGATCTTGTCTGAATCAGTAGGAGTTTTCTTTCCTGAAGGTTTTGAAATAAACAGACGTGTAGAAATACATAAGTCGACAGCAAGTTAAATTTTAACCCATGAAGGGTTATCGCTGATCGTGTTTTGAAGACCCAGCCCTTGGTTGTCGAGAACTTCAACTCGTTGAGACATGTTCGTCGAAAATTTATTTCCAGTATGAACCCTTTGAAAACTGAATTGAAAACTCGAATAATACCATGCAGTATTATACAATACAGGTACAAATATATGTACAATGGATATTTTTGTACCGTTTTCTTCAGTATGTACCAACATAAATATTTTCGTCAATTTAGCAGCGAAGTTTGAAAGTATAATTGAAATATCACTTTATAAATTTCCCTTAATTGGGTTTGGCGGGCAGTTTCAGTACATATCTTGGATTCTTCTTAGTATCAGATTAATTTCACGAGCCATATGTGTTTTGGGTCGAATTCTACAACTGCGTAGTGTCGTATCATCCTAAAACCTGCTTTTCAGTGAGGCGTTTTTCATGCCGTATGTAAACGCAGGAAAAAGTTTAAATCTTTCTAAATTCAATATAAGTACCAAATCCCTCGACAAACACGCTTTAAATTATACACAAAATGAACGCTGTGCTTTTTTCATTTACTGTAATTATTTGATAAGGAACTCTTTAAATGCATCGGTTTGAACTTTTCGTGCGGGTAGACACGTATGAAAATCTCTACGAATTGAAAAGCAGCCGGGGCCAAATGCCCCCCTCGTCCCAGTATATATAATTATATATATTAAAATATACCTTGGAATTAAGTCGCAGGTAATATAAACCATGGTAGTCCTAAAACTCGTTCAAACATGCAAAAATGGTAATCAATTCTACAGCCTAGACACTATCAACAATGTATTTATACTATATAAACACTTTAAAGCTGTTCGTTGCTCATTTGATTATCAAAAAATTATACCGTATAGATATCGATTTTTGGTTACAACGATTATAACCTATTCGGTTAGAGCTCGACAACTGGCCTCTGTAGCTCATTTGGTTATATAGCGTAGCCTGCGAACAGGCTCTCTTTGAAAGTTATAGCGCTGCACCGGAATCGCAGGGCCTGCAGAGGGCGAATAGTTGTATTTTTTGCCACTGCTCCTTTTGGGTCTAATATAAATGCATAAAATTAACACTCCAGAAATTGCCAGCGACAAATTCCTTCCACATAGCGCAAATTGACGATCGTGTTCTGCGATTTCACGGCAAACCGCACGCATGAATATTCAGGTATGTTGTGGTCAACCAATATGCCTGACGTCACGTTGTGAATATTTAAATTTACTCCAATTACCAAATTCCAGACAATTCGAGCTACGCTGTTGTCGAGTATTCTAGTGCTTGTATTAGTGCCTCAGCTTAAATTGGACGTGAAAATGTCTTAGACTCGAAGGTCTATCTCACTTTACTCGTCGTTCGTTTGCGAATATCAACCGTGTATTGAAACAACCGTGTGATTACGTATATTTGGAGTGCGTTTTTGAGATTTGGTGAACTTTTAAAGGAGTGCCACTGGGATCGTATTAGCAGGTATGAGCCATTTAGATTAGGCGTATTATTATGGAATGATCTTTAGGCTATAGTAACGTGGAATTAAACAATCCCCTAGGGTAGTTGCGTTGTAGAGCACAGATTTTGCAACAGTTGTCAAACATGGACTTGCCGAAGCATGCTTTTTCATGTAAACTCGCAGAACCAAAGGGCGATGGACTGTGTCGTTTATATATATGTGAACGACGACGCTGACTTGTTTATGTCTAAAATGCATGTGTTTATGATACAATCGTCGGCTCAGCGTTGTTTGTGGCAAACCAAATTTGATTAAAGTACCATGTGTCGTAATACAATGTCGCTGTAATTAAGTAAAATACATTAGCTTGGCAAACTTCATGTGAGCAACAGTATTTTTGTTGTTACAATGCGTATATTACACGCGAGCAACCACGTTGATTGCGATGGAAATGCTTGGATACGAGCGTTTTAAAACGATTCCTTAGAAACACAACGGATTACCGAATGTTTGCTTCGAATGAACGTTTTTGGGAGATTAAAGTCGAAACATTAACGATTTTAAGGTATGTTAGCTATAGGGAACGCCTTTACATTCGGGCGATAGCATCTCGAAGTCTCTCGATCACTCTCACATGCCATTTCTCATGAATTTTTTGAATGCAAATATCTGTTTAATCATGCACGTTTTGCTTCTAATTTCTGCGTTGTTTACGCGGCGTGTTTCAATATTTACTAAACGAGGTCTCGTTCTAGCTCCATTTCAGCATTTCCGACGTGTAATAACGTAAAGGCGAGGGGCAGTTACGTATGTCGCCGCGAGTTTTACCCTACAGTCCTTTATTAGTAGATCTAAAGATCAGCAAACCATGATCTATTGATCTAAGGCTTAGCATTGACAATACTATAACATTCTAATATATTTTGGCTGTATATCTAATAGTACGCTTGCAAACTCGGAAGTGAATTCTTTTGCGCATTTAAAAGGCAAAAGGTATGCGATGGTATGCAAAGGCGTGGGTACAGAATGTATATAACTTAGGAGGCTCATTGGCAATATGTACAACCATTCAATGCCGCATGTGGACAATATCAGAACTAATTTTCCAATGCATATTTCTCGTTTTAAGGCAGCCCAGTTCGCTATAATTTCTTTATAAACTCTTTGAAAAAATTCCAAATATTAAGGTGTATATATACAAGTATATCGCTGGTTTTGTTTAATAAGCTTGGAATGTTTTATGCACAGATATCTTTGTTCTCGCGTTGAAAAAGGCCAAAAGCGATTGTATATTTTGTGTCCGTTTCAAGCAACATTTACAAGAAAAAGCGCGACTGAGTGCCAATTTTCTTAGCAATTTATGGCTTTAAAGCTTATTCACAATGAAAAGCTGTAAATAAATCCCGGCAAACAGATTAGCATGGCATGCAAACACAACTTATATGAGCCACTCATGCAGAGCTTGTTTATACGATCGAATTCCGAACGTTCTTGATACAAAGCAAAAAGGCGACCCAATATTTCAACAATATTTTTTTGAAACTTCGACAAATTATTGTAATTGTGTAAATTTTTAATACAAGAGTCGAGCCCGAAAGGTTCGTCGCTGTTTTTCAGTTCGTACTGTAGCGTTCACGATTGCTACAAGTTGCCAATATTACCGCAGGGTTTTTTATTGTCGTCACATGTTCAAAAAGTTAAGAGACTATTTCCGTCTTTGCGCGTCAAAAAAATGAGAGCATGTGATTTCGATTTTTATGTGCTGGTCAAAACAACTAAACAAGACGCGGTAATATCGCATATTTATGAACAATCATTCGCACCACCTAAATATCTGGCTTGATTCCGCATTTAGATTAAATTCCTCAACATATAGGGCGCCTCAACGTTTGGGGAGGGGGTTTAAATTAAAGAGACTACGGAAGTGGGTATAGTGTGTTTTGGTTGTAAGAAATTTTCCCGCGAACCTTAGAACCACGTGTTGGGACGCGAAGGTCGTTTGGTAAATCATTTGGAACTAATGCCCAAGCGAAATGCTAAGCAACCTTCATTAAAACGCAAGGTCGCCTTTTGGTATTGAAATTTAATAACGCGTCGTAACAAAGAAAAAATATGCATAATTCTAAACTCTTTGTTTTCATTCATTCATAACTGCGAGTCTGTGACTGCAATGCCTATATTTATATTTGATCAACTCATTTAGATGGCAATCCTGTGAAAATCCATTGGTCTGTAATGCGACGCATGGTAAATAAAAGTGCAATAAACGGCTTATAATGTCCAGTTTATCAAACTCATTATTTTGACGAGTAGTGTTTGCTATTCTGTGTACGCTTTTCATTTGCAAAGCTAATTTGCCAACCCTGCAGGGCATTTCTTTAGGGTGGGTTTTCATCGAGTAACAAACAACCAACTTTCAAACAGAACTTACTACCAATAACTGGTACATAGATTAAAACGAGGATTAAGAATTATTCCAATTATATAATTGATCAAAATTTGTTAGGGCATCCAAGCAATGGGTACTTGGCTACAAATGTCGCTACGGATTTGTCCTTCATTGCCATATAAACATACATAAATAATTATGATTATTAAAAGAACGAAGCGAGTAATTTATTTGGTTTTAAGTATATAGATAAATCTGCTCTGACATCAGTAAACCATTGTATTATTGCACTGCATTAACATTGGCAATAAACTCTTAAAACTATATATTAAACTCTATTACAGATTGTTTAGATCTTGCTTAGTTTTCAAAATATTTCGACTGAAAAAAGTGAGCTGTTCGCCATCTTGGATTATTGAGGATATGCATGTTACGTCAAGAGAGGGGCCACGCTAATTTTTTGTCTGAGAGTAAGCGATCAATATGGGTCCAAAACTTCGTTTCTGGTTGCTGTCTGAAATTTAGAAATGATTAAAAACATTTGAAACAATATTGGATTGTTACTCGGTCATTTTAGAGTAGTTTTATATGGTTAACCCAACTCCTAACGTCATCAAAACCATAGTTTTAATAATGAGGTCAAGAATTGGTCCAATATGGTGGACAGCTCATTTATTTCGGTCTAAATGTTTCGAGAACTAAGCATGCAGTATGACAAATCGGTAATAGAGTTTAATATATACTTTTAAGAGTTCTTTTGAATGAGACAAACTAATTTTTTATTGCCAATATCAGTGCTGTTCGTTTCCGACCTCGTTTAAATCACAATGTTGATATATTTTTTCTGTATAAGTGAGTGCGATGGTTGCTTTTAATTCGAGAACCGTTTGGCATAGACCACAAAACACCTTGAATGCTTAACATTGTAGTTAGACCATTTATTCAAAATGTATTTATCTAAAAGGCATGCACCAGTGGACATGCGAATGCTGTGACTGTATTAAGTTACAGGGAGAAATCTCTGTGGCACTTCCGCTCAGATTCGGGGCCAAGTCTAGGTAGTATCATTATATTAATGTTCTAGCAGATGCACAGTGCAATAGAGCAATATCCATACTCTAATTTTGTTGTTATTCATCAATCATCTCTTATATGTCACATGATAGGTGCAGAAAATATAATCAATAAAAGGGCTAGGCTGTGTGTCTCCATTTCAATGAGATCGTTCTGCGTCAGCAATCCCGCATATCTCTGAATTAATACCGACACTAAATGTCTGAAAAGACAACCTATACCTAGATACCATTCACGTATTTTGTGATCAAACAAATATAGTATTACAGTACTTTATATGCTACAAGTTCCAAGGCATACGCCAGAGTATTCCAGACATTGTAAGTTCAAAGGGCAAAGCCAAGGGTGATAAAGTTTATTTTTTTAACTGTATAGTTTTTGTTATGAAAACCAATATAAAATTTTGATAATGTGGGCTAAAGCTTATAGATTATAAGTTCATGCACCACTATATGAAGGTGACGCCAATGTAAGATGTGTAGATTGGAAATTTTTTATCCTGGCTTGAGAAATATCGTTTCGCCAGATCCTTCCATTTCAAATATTTTTGTTCGTGTATTTACTAAACAGACATACACAAAGGCAATATTAAAATTAGTTAGGTCAGCCCTGCAAAAGTGTCTTTCGTTGGTATTCGCCGGAAACCACGCACCCTAGAGAATATTCTCACATACTCTCTCGACTTCCTTAAATCTTTAAAGGCTTTTGAAATTTCCCTTGCAACACAAAGAAAATAAAAACTCGTTTATCCGTTTATACTATTTTGACTTTGGGTAAATAAAAGCTAGATTTTTTTACACGGTCGCAACAGAAATTTTTGAAATTTTCCTTGGAATACAAAGTAAAAACTCGTTCATCCGTTTATATTATTCTGACTTTCGGGGTATATAAAAGGCTAGATTTTTGATACATTCGCAATAGTTGTAGCAAAAGCTCAAATTGTCAATATCACCGCAAACCCATAATGACTGTTAATGGCAGAAAATTGTCTGCCGCGCCCAATATCAAGGGTTTTAGAGAAATCACATGAGAAAGGAATGTATGTGATTTTACTAGATTCATCTACATTTCAAATCGCCGACATGGAAATTAAATCCTATAACATATATAGGTCATCAAACAGATACAAATGCTCGCTTAAAAAACAATTTCCTAAACAGAGGGGGAAACTTTTAATTAACCTACTGACTTGACGAGTAAAATACTCTGGCGTTAGACAGAGCAAAATAATAAAGTAGCGCGCAATGGGACAGAATGCAACCTGATGCGTTAACTAGACATACGGGACGATTAACCCATTGAGCGCCAGCGCTCCCTTCTTGACGAATAAAATAGTCTGGCATTAGACAGAGTAAAATAATAAAGTAGGGTGCAATGCAATTTAATGCGTTAAACAGAGAGTGCTGTTAGTTGCGACAATTCTTATCAATGGCAGCCTTAGTAGCACAACTCGACTAGATTACATTAACAGCATTTGATGCTATTAGCTAAAACTTGTAACCGTTTAGGCATCTAAAAAATCTTGACGTAAGCCTGGAACAAGAAATAATAACAACCTGCTTAATATCAGGAATTAAGATTTGTATACAATTCACATATATAGGCGCATGTATATACATCTAAATTATGTACATTCCTGTTTGAAATATAGTCATTGATTGTCTTTAGTATTGTCGGAATTCTAGGGTATAGGAGCATTAACACGCATATACTGTCATTACTCGCTGTGTGCGAATGCTTCAAAGTGCTTAACTACGTGGGCAGTACTCATTATGAGCGACCCAATATCCTCCCACGCATTCTGCGGTCTGTTATGTGAGCAAATTCAATAGTCGGGAATAATCTGGAATTGATGAAATGCACCACATAAATCTTTGCCAATTTTTTCAGTCCATGACGAGTGCACGTTTTCAATGGCTGGCATGCGAGCTTTTGAATAAGTGTATTATTAATTGTCATGAAAAAAACTTGGCATAATTGCTTATACAGATGACCATCGGCAATTGAAATTAAACTTGCCATATGAAAGCTTGTCACATGCAGAAAACTTATTCGTTTATGAATGGCTTAATTAAAGCGCGTCATCAAGCTGTTTTAAATCCTAAAGGCTAGTGGTAGTGTCCCTATAAGGACAAGATATTGTCTTGACTGAGAACGTTTTCAAAACGAATGGATGACAACGTTTTTAAGACGCTGTTATATATAACATAATATAAATGAACTCGATAGTTGGCAAGTTCTCACAAAGTAACTTCACAACTGTGAGAACTTCTTTCACGATCTTTTGCATTTGCAACAAAAACTCCTTTTAGACTAAATAGCTGTTGATGCATTTGCAACAAACTCACTAGGTCTTTGTCAACGTACACACAGAGTCGATAACACCAGAATATTGCGAATTGAAAGGAATTCAACTTCTCGAGAAATCCAAGGAAAACTTCGATTTTTCGTCGAGAAGAAAGTGAAAACTTCCCGACGGGAGGGTCTTTGGCTTTGTTATAAACATCGAAGTTAACTTTTACTTGTATTCTTTCAAGTATAGTTGAATGCGCATCTCAATGCACAGCTTTCTGGTGTCATTTGCAACAATTTCCTTCTTAGAAAACTGTTAGTAAGAGTATCTCAACCCTGTCCCTTGCATATTATGTCCTATAGGATAGCGAGCGGGGTTTACACTATGAATGATTAAATGTGTTCTTATTATGTTTGTGATGTTACTTTGAGGGCGCTACGAGAGGTGCAAGTCATTTTGAGTTGGTGATATTTCGGAACTGAGTCTAGTTCCTTCGATAGCGATGTATTCTAAGATATAACATTTTTAATTTTGTGTGTGTCGGTGTTATGTGCTCAGGTGTGAATATAATGCTTGTGATGTTACTCTGAGTGTGCATCCACACCGGGCAAGCTGAGAAGTTGAACCCGCGAACCCGCGAACTTTGGGATACGAGCTTCCCCGGTGTGGATGCACACTCAGAGTAACATCACAAACATCGCATTCACCTGAGTACACAACACCAACACACACACGAAGTGTTCTTATTAGTTATATTTCCATGATGCCAGTAATGGCATTTCTCAAATAGTTGAAGCACTTCTACCTCTACATAAGATGAAACACACTCGGCGAATATTAGCATCTTGTTAGCTCAAGATTCGAGCTATTTAAACAATTACAAAATTCATGGGAATATTTCGCTTTTATTTCAGAATCATTATGAAACCTGACATCCTCAAGTCGAAATATTGAATTTTGTTATCTTGTTTGAATAGCTCGAATCTTGAGCTTACAAGATGCTAATATTCGCGGTGTGTGTTTCATCTTGTATTTCGCGAAAAGGATTTTGCCTCCATAATTAGCATATATAAATAAAAAAGGCATTCATTCAGCATTGAAAATAATTAAAGTGAAATTATGAAGACATTACTTGTAATATACCCTTGTTTTTACTGCTATATATTCTTTAGAATATAGAAACTGCAGAATTTCGAATCTAAATTTTTAGTAATTATGATTCAATAATTGCAGAATTTTAACTCGGTGGGCGGTTTAAAATATGTACATGGTTTAGCCCATTTAAATTACCCAGTATATGTAACGAACGATTTGTTTGTCATGCGGAGTTAAACGATTTGGTATTCAAAATTAACCTAGATGCATATCTTTCGTTTTAGAAATGCCTACGGCAATTGAAAATAGTGGCATGACATCCAGCGAGGAAAGACTTCCTGTCAATGGTAGTTTTTCCGCATCTGGGTCGCTCTCACCTGTTGATGAGGTAAGCCTTCTTTGTCTCTATTTATTTTAAGATGATCTCTAAGTGTGCATGCCTACACTGAACAAGCTGAATACTTGACCGTATAGGGAATCGAACCCGCTTGTCCAACGCTTTATCGGCGGAGCTGTAGAAGAAGACTTTATTCAGCACGCTTTTACAAAAATAAAAAATATACAAAAAATTTTTAGAACGATTAATAATTAATCAATAAGATAAAATAATTCGTGCTGGGTTTCTGAGATAACCATATACAGTTAATCGAGTCAGATAACCCATTTGAATTAAATTACTAATATTCAATTAGCTGGGGGATTGATGGCATTATATAGAGATTTAAGAAAAATAAATTTTTATATATATATGCAAAATATAAGCACAAGCATAATGTAGACAAAAAAAATATATACAGAATTAAGTTATATGGAATACAAAACTATAAATATACAATTAATAGTTGGAAAGAAAGTCACATATGATTGTGTGTTTGAAGCTGGATAAACTAAGAACTTTATAATGATAAGGAAGACAGTTCCAAATTTTAGCACCAGAAAATCTAATGTTAAATTTACCATAATTAGATCTGATATTATGCATATAAAATGACTCTTGACAAGCAAGCCTAGTACTATATTTATGAACTTCAGAAGTTGGGGTAAAGAATTCCTCAAAAACTGTAGGAATAATTTTGTGATGAAATTGGTACATGAATAAAGCATACTGAAAGAATACAATATCCTAGCTTGAATTTCATGAGGTCAAGTTGGGAAAGTCCGCACGTTCATCCCCAATGCATTCAAGTAAAATTTTCAGCTTGTCTGGTGAGGACACACTTAGAGAGTAGCGCGTTTAAGCTTCACGTTTCCGGGAACGGCAAACGGCAGGTTCGAACTTGCTTGGCAAAATTTCCGTTGAATGTTGTCGTTTCATATTTTCTTTCTTGCGTCGAAAGAATAATTATGTATTTCAGTTTTAAAACAGCAAGTTCATTTACTCTTTATTGCCTGATACTGTAAAATTTTTCTTTGCCTGCCTGTTTGCCGTTTGTTCGCCGTTTGTTCGCCGTTTGACGCGAAGCTTAAACTCTCTAATATCATATTGTAGGCTAGTTTACACTATCAAAGTTTCTGTGATCACAGTAGGGACTTTGCAGAGGTAAATTATAAGTATTGAATGATTTTTAAGAAATGTTTGAGAAAACTGAGTCTGACTAACGCCCGTATTCTAAAAGCTCACTCACACTCAAAGAGTGGAGCTTCTGAGCTTCTCTTAAGTGACAATGCTGTTTCTAAATAGCTGGGGGCTGAGTATAGTCACATTGTAATGTACGATACTAACTCTCCAGCTATTCAAAAACAGCACAGACACTCAAGGGAAGCTCAGACTAAACCTCCACTCTTTGAAAGTGAGTGAGCTTTTAGCATACAGGCGTAAGTGTTTAACTCTGAGTCAGATCCCTCAAACATTTCTTACAAATCCTTCAAAACTTAGAATTTACCCATGCAAAATTCCTACTGTAATCACAGGATTCTTGATACTGAAAACAGCCTTGAATATTTCTTCACCTGAGTACATATACCACAGTCATTACACTCGTATTATTATACACCACAAAGAGTATATTTTAGTGACTTAACATAATGAGAAATTTCGAGTATACAATGTAATTTCTCAAGAGAAATTTAAAAGCCAAACCTTAACTTTATCGCCATTATCATCGCATCGAAACATAGGTGGGGATAATTTTTTGCGCATTTTCCTCTACCACCACGGGTTCATGCAGATCAGGATGTGAGCCCGAAATATATCGCCTGTGACCGCATGAACGCTTTAGCGTACCAATTTTTATATTTCCTATCTAACAACGTCTCCTGCATGTATAGACTGATCATACCTTACATTCTTTTATCATTATTTTGCAGCCAAGAATTTTTGTATTTGTTGAAAAGAACCCGGGCGAAAGCCTTGGTTTGTACCTTGTGCCATTTGAAGATGAACCATTGACAGGACTGTATGTGAAAACTATTGTTGCTGGAAAATCTGCAGCTCGTTTGCAAGTTTTTGATGCAGGTATAATGATCATTCACACAAGTTGGCCCTAGAACAAAATGCAGTTCAGTTTTCTTCTTATAATGAGAAGATCAGATTTGACTTCTGCTACCAGAAGAAGTATCTGATCGGTTGATCGGATATATCAAACACATTTGATTGGTTAATGGTACCCTAATGCTTGGTCTCTGTAGCAGTGGTGGAAGTCAAATTTGAACTCTCTAATAACACCACCATGCAGGAACATTTTCAATTCTCTCACACGTTATGGAAGAATCTAATGTCATTTCAGACATGTAACATAACTACAGTTCGTTTAGTCAGAGAAACTGAACGATATATTGAAATTTGTTTCATTAAAGGGACCGTTCATTAATTATACATACGGGTGGGCTGGAGTAAAACTAGACATTTATTAAAATATTTTTCGACCCACCCCCTTAAATTAAAATTTTTTCATGCCCCCGCCCCCATTACTTGAAAAAATATTTCAAGCCCCGCCCTCCTTCTGGAAGTGACCACTACTGTGTGTAAACGCTGGAACAACAATATAGAAATTGACAGTTGAGCTGACATTATTTTTATAGAACAATATATAAAGCTTGACTATTGTCTAGAAATTTGTTAAAATTTTGTTTTTGTCAAAACTGTTCACACAAAACCAATTGGGAAACTTTTGTATGTGATGTTTTTCACTTTTATACACTTCTATAAAAATGAAGTATAAAGTTTCTCGGCCCCCCTCATTACACAAAAAAATTTTGATGCCCCCCCCCCCTCATCTATAATTAATGAACGGTTCCTAAATGTGAAGCCCATGTAGTAGCGGGAGGAGTTCTCGACGTATCTTAACATATAGAGTGAAATCCCAGGAATATTCGTAAACTTTTTTATACTTTATTTATCGTTTCTATACGAGATGTGTCCCTTCTATTCATCTACCATTTACGTACTAGTTAAAACATGAGCAGCCGATCTTTATCTCGAGCCG